TCCCTGGAAGCTGAATATTACCTTATATGACAAAAGAGACTTCTGCAGATATGATTAAGTTAAGTATCTTGAGACTTTAAAGTTATTCTGGATTATCCCAGTGGGCCCTAAATGCAATCACAAATATCTTTACAAGAGAGAGGCAGAAGGATATTTGATACAAAGGAGGCACTCTGAGGACTGAATGTGAAGGCAGTGTACTACACTGTGGACTTTGAACATGGAGGAAGGGGCCATGAGCCAAGGAATGCAAGGAATGCAGCTCTAGAATCTGGAAAAGGCAAGGAAACAGATTCTAACCCAGAGCCTCCTAAAGAAGTGCAGTCCTGCTGGCTCCTTGTTCATGGCCAGGTGAAACTGATTTCAAACTTCTGACCTCCAGAACAGTAAGAGAATAAATGTGCCTTGTTTTAAGCCATCAAGTCTGTGGTAGTTTGTTATAGCAGCCATAGAGAACAAGTACAATTATGTAAATAGTTTGGTGCTAAGTCACTTTATTGTGCAATTTTATTTGTTCTAGCTTTAATAATAGCTAGCCTCTTTTTCAGTTTTAGTTTGAATATCTGGCTTAAGCTAAGTCTTCATCCATCCATTAGCTCTGTGAAACACCTCTCTGTTTAATTTTTCCATGTTGTTAAACATATCAAATAATCTATTAGGTCCAATTTTTTTCCCCCGGGGGAAAAAAAATCCCTCTAGAAGCTCCCTGGATTGGTTGTTCTCTGCATAGCTGTTATCTCCCAGGACTTATTTTTGCTATCACCTTTGAAATTCTCTTTGTCACTTTTCTTAGTTGAATCTCCTGTATTTTCTTTTTTTCTTCCATTATTCCTCATGAATGGGATTAGTTTAATCTCCTGTATTTTCAACCTCATGTCTTCCTTTTTCACTGGTTTCTTCCCCCGTGTTTGGGAGGACCACATTCTCCAGTAAGTTCCTGAGAAAAGGTTAGATGACAGGTAATTTTTTTGAGACTTTACAGCTATAAAAATATCTTTATTCTATCCTTATACTTGATTGGAATTTTAGCTGGATATTGAATTCTAGATATAATTTGAGAATTCATTTAGATTCAGAATTTTGGAGGCTTTCCTCTTTATTTTCCAGCTGTCTATGTTGCTATACAGAGGTCAATTCACTTTGGTTCCCAAATCATTGTATGTGACTTTTTCTTCCAGCTTTATGGAATCTCTATTTATTCCAAGCATTCTGAAATTTCATGAGGATGAGCCTTGGTGTGGGTTTTAAGCCTCTTTCTGGAAACTCATGTCTTTCACTTCTGGGATTTTGTTGAATAGTATTTCTTTGATCATTTACTGTCCAGTGTTTATTTTCTCAGAAATTCCCATTAGTCAAATATTGAAACTCATGTACTGAGCTTCTAATTTTTTCTTTACTGATTTTCATTTCTTTCTTTTTGTTCTCCTGTCTGCAATAGTTCCTTGATCTTATTTAACAATCCTTCTAATAATTAAAAACTGTCTTTTCAGCCCTCATATTTAATTTCCACAGGTTCTATCTTGTTCTTTAATTTTCCTCTTTTATAGTATTCTATTCTTGTTTTGACGATATAGTCTTTCTCTGTCTCTGTCTGTCTGTCTGCCTATTAACAATATCCATAAAGTTTTATTAAATTTTTTTTGTTTGCTTTTGTTTCTTCAGAACCCCCCTCCCCCGTTTGTTTGCCTTTGTCTTTCTCTTTCATGATAGAGGTTTTCCTCAAATGTCTGGTGATCCTTGGCAGCATGTTCTATTTATAGCAAAAAATGTGGGGAGAGCTAGTCACTGGAATGTTTCACAATAGTAGGATTAATCAGCCTGTCAGTTTTGTCACTGGGGACTCCAAGATATCTGTATCTCTGGGGTGTTCAGTTTTTCCTGAGAAGGGCCCTCAAGTCTCCTACCTGGGGGTATATGAGCCTTGATACTAGTATTTGGAGCTAGGTGGGGAAGGACTTTCATGTAATTCTCCTGTCCCCACTTCAGGACTTCCTACTTGCTCATAGGTACCTTCACAGAATTTTTTTTTTTTTTTGTATTGTAAGTGGTACTGATTTTAAAAATAACTTTATTGAGATAGTTTACATACCATATGATTCCCCCATTTAAAATGTATAAATCAATATTTTTAGTATATTCACAAATATATACACCCATCACTACAGTCAATTTTAGATCATTTTCATCACCTCAAAAAGTCTTGAGGGAGGGGAAAAAGGGGAATTCTTCAAGAGGTATAGAGTTTCAGTTTTGCAAAATAAAAAAGTTTTAAAGATCTGTTGCACAAGATACATATAGTTAACATTAGTGTATTCTAAAAAATGGTTAAGTTGGTTAAAAATAAGAAAATTTGTAACCTTTAGTTGTCATCCTCTATCTCCGCATCTCTCTCTGCCCCTTACCCCCTGCCCTAAGCAACTATTAATCTACTTTCTGTCTTTAAAGATTTCTCTATTCTAGACTTTACATATGGGTGGAATTATATAATATGTGGTCTTTTGTGGTTTCCTTTCACTTAGCATTATGTTTTCAAGGTATATTCATATTGTAACAGGTGTCAGTACTTTACCTTTTTATGGCTGAATAATATTCCATTGTATGGATATACAACATTTTGTTTATCCATTCATCTGCTGATGAACATTGGGTTGTTTCCATCCTTTGGCTATTATGAATGATGCTGCTGTAAACACTCATGTACAAGTTTTTGTGTGGACATACTAATGTTTTAATTTCTCCTATATATCTAGAAGTGGAATTACAGGTCACATCATAGCTGTATAATTATTTGACAGATCACTAGACTGTTTTCCAAAGCAGATGCACCATTTTACATTTCCATTAGTAGTGTATGAGGATTCCAATTTCTATACATCCTTGCTTCTAACTTTTTAATTCTAGCCATCCTAGTGGGTATGAAGTGGTACCTCATTTTGATTTTGGTTTTCATTTCCCTGATGACTAATGATGCCCAGCATCTTTTCATGAGTTTATTGGCTATTTATGTATCTTACTTGGAGAAATGTCTATTCAGATCAGTAGTGGGTTGAATAATATCCTGCCAAAAAATTCATGACCTTCTGGTTCCTATGAATGTGACCTTTTTGGAAATATAGCCTTTGCAGATGTAATCAATCTCAGTTGAGGTCATACGGATTTGGGTGGGCCTTAAATATAATGACTGGGGTAGGTATAAGAGACACAGAGACACAGAAGGAGGAACATCATGTGAAACAAAGGCAGGGTTTAGAATGATGCATCTGTAGGTCAAGGAATGCCAAAGACTGCTGGCAACCAACAGAAGCCAGGAGAGAGGAGTGGAATAGATTCTACCCCAGAGCCTCCAGAGGGCTCATGGCCCTCCCAACACCTACCTTGAGTTTAAATTCTAGCCTCCAGAACTGTGAGAAAATAAGTTTCTGTGGTTGTAAGCCTCTCAGTTTGTGTCATGAAGGTTTGACACTGTTTTCATCAAAGAGTTTTGTCTTTTTAACTTTTACATTTAGATCTTTGATCCATTTTTAGTTTTTTATATGTGCTGTGAAGTAAGGTCCAAGTTCATTCTTTTGCATGTGGCTGTCCAGCTGTACCAGCATCATTTGTTTAAAAGACTAGTCTTTCTCTCTTTGAATGGTCTTGACTCTCTTGTTGAAAATCAGTTGACCGTAGACATGTGGTTTTATTTCTGGACTCTCAATTCTATGCCATTCATGAATAGGTCTGCCCTTGTGTTAATACCATACTGTCTTGATTACTGTTGCTTTCCAGTAAGTTTTGAAATTGGGATGTGTGAATGTTCCTTATTCTTCTTTTTCAAGACTGTTTTGGCTATTATGGGTCCCTTGTAATTGCTTATAAATTTTAGAATCAGGTTGTCAATTTCTACAAAGAAGTCAGCTGGGATTCTGATAGGAATCGCGTTGAATCTGTAGACCAATTTGGGGAGCATTGCCATCTTAACAATGTTAAGTCTTCTGACCCATGAACATGGGATGTTTTCCCATTTATTTAGATCTCTATTTCTTACAGCTGGTGGCAATCAGTACTTTATGCCAGTTCTTCTACCTATTGTTTTGTATTTCCTATGAACATTTTCTGCACTTGCATACAGAAAAAAATAGGCATTTTACAATACAGTTCTCACTAATTAAGCACCACCAGGCACTATTCTCCCCCCCCCCCCACAGAGCTTTTCAATGTCTTTATTCAAAGTAGTAGTATCTTTCTCCACCTATAATTTTCATTGAGGCCTGCCTAATCTCCAAAGCCCAACTCTCACCCGTTTTTCCGTCATGCTGAGAGCAAATAGAAAAAGTATACCACCAGGCACTAAGCGTTTTATATATTAAACCGAATCCTCAGAGCAACCCTAGGACATAGGCACAATTATTACTCTTATTTTGCAAACAGGACACTGACGCACAAAGATGTTATATAACTTGCCCACAGTTGTACAGCAAATTAGTGGTAGAACTAAGTGAAGCTGGAAAGAACTACAGTAAAATTGTAAACAAGTACAAAACAATTGGTTAAAAATTAGTACTTCTTAGAAACTGTGTAGCAGAACAGTTTCTAAATCTAATCCTGGATTTAGATCAGGACTTGAATTTAGATTCCAACACTTATCTGCTGTGTTAAGGTCTGGGGCTGGTCACTTTGAGCCTCAATTTCCTCGCCTATAAAATGGAGATTATAAAACTTACTTGATAGGGCTTTTGTAAGAATCTAGTGAAGTGATGATTATAAAATCTCACTATTAATCTCTAAAATGTTACATAAACGATAGAACATTTCCTCCCAGCAGTGTACTCGGTAATTTCGGACCCAACCTGCATGCAGAAAGAAAATCCCTCTGGATACCCTTGCCGGAAACAGGCGCAGGGCGCTCTGGGAGTTGTAGTCTTACACTGGCGCTGTCCCGCCTTTCTCCCTTAGGAGGGGGAACTGGGCGGAAGCCCCGGAAGTACTCGTTGCTTGAGAGGCGTGCTGGTTAGGAAGGGAGGGTCAGAGGTCGTGGGGGTAGAAGGCGTTCCTGCTGCCGGCCCAGTCGCTATGTAGTGGAGGGGCAGGCGACCTCCCGCAATTTCTGGAAGTTCTTGGGCTTGACAGAGCAGTAACCCCAAGACCTAGTCGCAGGTTTCCGGCCCCCGCCGGCTGAGCGGAGCCGCTGCCGCCATGTTTGGCTGCTTGGTGGCAGGGAGGCTGGTGAGGATGGGGTCGGATGGTATTACGAAGGGGTCAGGGTACTGAGGGCGAAAGCCCGGGGAGGGGATGGTGCGCTGGTGCTAGGGATAAGGGGAGACCCATTCAATTGTCTGTTTTTTGGCTGGGGGTGTGAGGATGGAGAGTGGGACGATGGGGTGCTGTCTTTTGCCCAACTCTTCAGATTCATTTGAATAGTAAGTAGTCACAATATTAGCTGCTGTTTATTGTGTGTGCATTTTATACCAAGTACTGGGCTGATTGCTGTGCACACATTTTGTCAATTATTTGTTATTTCAGCCTTCTTTGTAGCGCCTATTTGGCGCCTCAGACTTAATCCTCAGGACCAGTCAGATGGTCATTCTAGCTGTTTTGTAGTTGAGGAATTTAAACTCAATCGGCAGGTAAATACCTAAACTCATAACGCGAGTTACAGGTAAACCAGGGATTTAATGTAGTCCGTAGCAAACTGTCAAAAATTAAGGTGCTCGGGCAGTGTGTATTTGCTGGGTCCCTTTGGAAGGACCCTGGTAAAAATATGCTTAACGTAATTGGAAGTTGTTTGTTAGAAATACCTGAAATTTACGTGTGAGCCACTTGCTGGGTCCCTTTGGAAGGACCCTGGTAAAAATATGCTTAACGTAATTGGAAGTTGTTTGATAGAAATACCAGAAATTTACGTGTGAGTCATATCTGAGATGACCAGGGAAGAATGCGAGCAATGCGTTTCCTGATTGTCAAAAGAGACAGCATACCTTGCCAGATTATTAGAATTAAATGAGATCAGCACTTGGAATTGTTTAGGAATAATCTGGAGAGTGACTCTTGTTTGCTTCCTCAGAAACCACCCAGACCAGACATCGTTTTCAGACCTGAGTCCTTTCACCTACAGGTTTTTGTTTTTGGTTTTGGTTTTTTTTCCCCTCTCTCTGTCTCCCTTCTTTGTGAAATGTGGCAGCCCCTTTGTTGAATTGTTTTGTTTTGTTTTGTTTTTCTTCCATCGACTTTTGATAAAGTATTGTAACCTGTACAGTTCTAAGAAACACAAAGATAAATTGGGGACAACTAGCCTCAGAAAGTTTGACGAGTGACTGGGGAGCCCCTGTGGTGATGGTGTGAATTTGTAATCCTGGCGAAATAATTTTGGATTGTCCCAGTTTTTGATAGGGAAAATGAAGGGACCAACCTGGAATGAGAGTGGGATTCAGATGAGTGTCATTAATTAATGACATTAAAAGTGTGTGTATTTTTTAAAGAATAAAAGGGCCATATGGAATCCGTGTATCTCTCATGTTGTCAACTGATTTGGAAGGAAATTTAAGTTATAGCAATACCTGTGTCTGTTTACCCAACACCTAACCTCTGTAATGGATATCAGTAGGGGTTCCCTTCAAGGCAAGAGTTTTTGGTGGTGTTTGGTTCTTTAATTCTGGAGTGTTAGAACACAATAATCAAAATGAAGGGCGAATAGATGTAGCACATCTCAAAACTTAACTACATTATTTTGTTACCAGAAAAGTTCACTTATCTAAAGTTATGAACCCAGTTTTCATTCCTCGACAATTTTTTCTTAAAGAGGTACCTTTTTTTCTTAAGGTAAAAGATTAGTGTGTTGTAATACAGATTTAAAGAATGTCTGGTGCCTTGTACAGAGTTGACAGTTAAGAATTCAGTCGGATAATTTTAAGACTCATAAATACCATCGTTCTCTACATTTTCTAATGTTATATGCATGTAAAAGCTGGTGAAATTGAATCTAATACTAATATAAGCAATTTGGTTTATATTTATGTTCTTCCTTTGTTTTATTCTTTATACTTATACTGGAGGGTTTTTAATTGGGTCAGAAATCTTCAGAGGAGGGAATCAAAACTTGACTTTAAGGACATTTAGTCTTGGTCTCTTGGGATTTAATTTAGAGTAATTGATATTACTTTATAACTTATACATAGATGATGTTATTTACCAGTATATTTTTCTTAAGTTTCTTTGTATTAACAGATAAGGTATTATAGAGGGGGAAAATAAGCATTTTATTAACAAACAAATATTAGGAACAGAAAATAAATAGCATTCTAGATAATAAGAATTGAGCATTTAGTCTTGAAAAATAATAGTAATTAGACCTGGTGTTTTGGTGAATAGAGTGACAATAGTAATTTAAAAAACAAAACCAAAAATCCTTATATAAGGTAAATTCTTGATGGTGTATCTACCTGAGTGCTCTCAGAATTAATATTTCTTTTTGCTAATGGATATGAAATAGCAGTTATCAATAATTTTCTAAAAGTGTAAAAGGATTTTTTCTGTGAAAACAGATTTCTCAAATTTCAAAATAAGATAATAAGATCTCATTTTATTAATTGACGTCCAATTCTAGAATAGAAAATTAGTTTATAAAATGAGTCAAGAGGAAACTTTTACAAGTTCCCACATACCAAATTCAAAGTAGAATTTTTACATTTTACATACAGTTGATCTCATTCTTCTCAGAAGTTGTGTTCTATAAAGTCTCTGTGAACACTGAAATGTTGTGTACTGAATCATTGCTCCTAGCAGAACTACAGGGTTAGGTTCTTGTGAGCCTTTGCTCACAGCATTTTCAATCATCCTATCATAAGTTTGTTTTATGTGTGTTTCTGTTTAAAAACATTTTAATTAATATGTATTGTTGATTCATTAACATGCAACTCATGGCCAACAGCACTATAACTCGTGTCTGAACAAAAGTTATCTAACACCTGTATTTTCTCTGTAAGGCATGTCATAGCTTTCTTGTAGTTACGAACACTAGCCATTACTTTAGCTTGGCCACTTGAAGCAGCAAAATCACCAGCAAAAAGCTCAAAAATGCAAACAAACGTAGCACCAAGTGGACTGCTGTAAGGACACTTTTTCACAGTTTGAGGGCCAAAACAAGAAGGCACAGCATAGCCTTGTACCACCTCAGCTGAGAATGTGTGTCAGGCAACTCATTTTTTGCTGTTCTGCCTAGAAGCATGTCCATGAATGGCCACAGAAATATAGCAAGTGTTAATTTTGGGTTACAAATATATTTTAGTGAGTAAGGGAATTTGCAAATATGAAAGCTGCTAATAATGAGGATTGAATATAATGACTTCTGGATTGCTTTCCCATTTTAATTACCTAAGGTTCTTTACCTTCAAACTGGAGGATAAGAGATTGGTAGTGTGGTGTTTTGAACAATCTTTCATTTTTACAGTGTTCTGAAGCTGTATTTATTTATTTATGTAAATAAAATTCTTTCAGGGCATTTCTAAAGTAATTTGGTTATATTTTTAAAAGCTTGTATTAACTGATCATTTTAGGGTTAAATATGTATTTTTGGATTCTGTATTAAAATAAACAGTTTCTAGTATATTTGATAGTTTCATAATTAGAGTATCAGATTAACCCAACATTATATTTAGTATAAATGGCTATAATTGACTATGTTGGTAATACAGCTTGTTGTGGTGCTATGAATTATAGAAACTCAGACTATTGAACTAAGACGAGTTTCTTATTTTCTAGGTGCAAACAGCTGCACAGCAAGTGGCAGAGGGTAAATTTGTTTTTGACTTGCCTGATTATGAAAATATCAACCATGTTGTGGTTTTTATGCTGGGAACAATTCCCTTTCCTGAGGGAATGGGAGGATCTGTCTACTTTTCTTATCCTGATTCAAATGGAATGCCAGTATGGCAACTCCTAGGATTTGTCACGAATGGGAAACCAAGTGCCATCTTCAAAATTTCAGGTCTTAAATCTGGTAAGAATACTATATTAAAATAGTTTCATAATTAATCAAACCTTTTTCTTAAATAACCTAACATGGAATATGGCTTTTTATTTTCCATTATATTTTTTCGGTTGCTTAGTAATACATAACATTATTTTTTAGAAAGCAGATGATACAGAAACATTTGAAAAATAGTAAGTGAAAGACTTCCTCGTCTCCTGACTCTTGCACTCTTCCCCTGGAGAGAACTAGCCACTATTGTTCTCTCTGTGTGGTTTATACCTTTGTAAAGGGATTTTTGTGAGTTAGCAGGTGTTTTAATAAATAATGAGAGAAAACTTTTCATAATTTGTAATATGCACATCTGTGTTTTAAATGAACAGATAAACCAGGTAGTCTTGTATCGGAAATAGAATGGAAGAGCTTATGTTGTTCCATTAAGGTTTTTGAACTCAGATTTGTTTACCTCTCCAATGTTCTTTTGGTTCTGTTGACATTTTAGGGATGCAGTCCTCACTTTGATACTTTGAGGTATTTTGTGAAGAAATGTGAGAATGAATCTATAGGTGCCATTACTCCTTGAATCTCTGGTTCCCTTAGAAATCTAGATTAAGATAGACATGAGAATTCTTAAAATATAAAAATACATTGTCCTAGAAATTGTCTATGGAGTTCTAGGAGAAATTATATTTAGGCAACATGTATGTAACATGTTTATATTTTTAGCAAACATTCGGGTACCTACTATGGGGATTTAAAGGTAATTAAGTTCTTGTCTGAGATAACTCATATTTTTATAGAGGAAGACAGTTCTGTAGACCAAAAATTAGTAACTAGTTGGTGTTTGTACGAAGTGCTGAGGGAGAATAGAAAAAGAAGCAATTAACTCTTAAGTGGCTTGGGGAAGACTTCTTGGAGGAGGTGATATTGGAGCAAGTAGGAGTTGGTCAGACCTATGAGAGACTTATTGGGGTATTCTTTTCTAGATAGAGGTAGTATGGGTATAAGACAAAAGTTTGAAAGTATGGTGTGGCACATATGCTCAGTATGGCACAAGGCAGGGTGTGTATGGGAAAGAAAGGCATGAATCGTGAAAAGTTTTATGTATCACACTGACTTATTTGGAATTTAGTAGGTCAGCAATTTTTATGTGCTTAGGTCACAGACCTATTTGATAGTATTACAAAAAGTGTATGTACCACAATGTAAATACTCAAAAATTTGTGTCTACTCTGAAGCCCATTCATGTACCCCTCTTTGAAGAGCACTGCTTGGTAGATGGAGAGTTGCCAGTGAACAATTTTCAGTTAAGGAATGATATGAAATTTATTTATTTATTTTTTTTTTGCTTGAGGACTTTGTGAAAATGACCTGGAACAGTTCTGCATTGTTAGCTGCTATTTTTGTTTTATATAGTTGGAGTTCTACAAGAAGAAATGGGAGAGAGCAATATTTAAAGCTAAACATTGTTTAAATTGATGATAAATATAAAATCTGTAGATTTAAGAAGCAGGATAAGTCCCAATAGTCCTTCTCGGTATGGGTTTGGTGAGATAATCGTCCCTAATCCCTAAGGCAGTGGTTCGTAAAGCATGGTTTCTTGATTTTTAACATCAGAATCTCTTGGGAACTTACTAAAATGCAGATTCCTGGCAGGACTCCAGACCTACTGAATCAGGAACTGGGTGTGAAGTCTAACGGTCTGTATTTTAATAAGTTCCGTAGGTATTTGTGTTGCATGCTAATGTTTGAGCATCCATGGGCATCCATGGTATATAATGAATTAATGCCTCTTATACGTATAGCGTGGTATTAGTTCTGAACAATCTTTAGGAGAATTAAGACAGTAGTCATTCTCAAACACTTTTTTTCTTCTCTGTGGCTGTACCTAAAAATAAATAGATAATATATAAGTAGAAAAAATGTAGATAGATAATTCGGTACATACTAGTGAAATTACTGAACATTAAAGAGAAAGTAATAAAGCAACCGGAGAGAGGTCATTCATAGCTGAATAGCAGTTGGTTTAGCAAACTTATCAAGAACATTAATAGAGGCTAAAAACCAATAGAATAATGTCTTCAAAGTGCCAAGGAAAAATAAAATAATTTGCAAAACTATTATTTTAAAGTGAAGAAGAAATAAATATATTTTCTGATGGAGATGAAGAGTTTACCACTCACAGGCTAGTACTGAAAGAACTACTGAAGATAGTTGTACTTTATAAGAGAAAATTGAACCCAGAATGAAGAAACGGATGCAAGATACAAAGTAGCAAAGAAATTGATAAACATGTAGACAAATCTGGACAACCTGATTATATCAAACAGCACAATAAATAATTCCTAGAAAGCAATGTATAAAGCCAGGAAGGGTAGTAATCTGAGTTAAAGCTTTCTGAGGTCCTGTTCTTCAGAAGGAGAACTATAATATTGATTCTACTTTCAAGTAATCCCATTAAAAATATAAGTAAAACTAAAACAAAACAAAAAAAAGATGTACATCCTCCAAACCATTAGAGTAGCTGGAGGAAAGGCAGTAGAGAAGACAGTAAGTCCACAGAAGGCAGGAAAAGAGGGGAAAAAAAAAGAAAAGAAAAAGGGGAGAAAAGCAAAGAAAAAGCATAGTATATTAAAAACAAAATAAGATGGTGGAAATAATTTCAACTTTATCAGTTATGAAATAAATGTAAATAGATTAAACTTATTAGCGAAAACATGGAGACTCAAGGATGAGATTTTTTTTTTTTAAAGGGGGGCAAATAAGATAATTATATTGCTGTTAATGAGTCATAATTCTGTTTGTTTGGCATCTGGCCATGTAAATAGATTAAACTTATTAGCGAAAACATGGAGACTCAAGGATGAGATTTTTTTTTTTAAAGGGGGGCAAATAAGATAATTATATTGCTGTTAATGAGTCATAATTCTGTTTGTTTGGCATCTGGCCAGTACTGGGATCCAAACATTTGACGTTGGTATTACAAAGCTGTACTCTAACCAGCTGAGCTAACTGGCCAACCTTGGTGTTTTTGAGTAATGGGTCTGAAACATTCTAACACAGGAACCAAAAGAAAGCTGGCACAAAAGTATATTAATTTTAAGAAAAATTAGACTAAAGCAAAAGTGTTATTTATCAAGGATAAAGAGATTCACTCACTCAGAATGAGATAATTCACTAGGAAGAATTAGGTATTTCTAGGAAAAGGTAAAGGTCATGAATTTGTGTGTATATGTAACATACCTTCAAAATAGATAAAGAAAAACTATTGACATTTATATAATGAATAGATAACCTTACAATTAATATTTTAACATACCTCTTAATGATTGATAAACCAGACAGATAAAATGTTAGTAAAGACATGGAAGTCTTGAGTAAAGAGTTAACAAGTGTGAGCTCATGGACATTTATAGAACCCTGCAACTAATAATTAGATCATATACATTTTTTAAGTACAGAAAATTTATGCAATTCAACTACATCCCAGGTCATGAAGCAAGTTGCAGCAAATGGTAGAAAAGATGACCGGTAAGGGGATCTTAACCCTTGACTTGGTGTTGTCAGCACCACACTCAGCCAGTGAGCGAACCGGCCATCCCTATGTGGGATCCGAACCCGGGGCCTTGGTGTTATTAGCACCGCACTCTACCGAGTGCGCACGGGCCGGCCCAAATGCTTGATTCTTTTGCTTTATGTATGAATGTTTAAAAAATGAGTTGATACCCTAGCATCTTTCAAAAGTAATTCAAGTTTTTTTTAAAAGAATTACGAAATCGTGGGGGTGTGTGTGTGTGTGTGTGTATATGAAGGTACTTCAAAAAGTTTATGGAAAGATTTGTATTGTCTTTTAATTTTATTTTTCTACAAACCTTTTGACTTTTTTAGATTTATATCTGGTGTATTCTAACCATTAATATACCATCAAAATTTACTGGACCCAATTTTAATTTTTCAGTTTCCTTTTTAAGCAGATGTTGATATTTTATAGCTTTTATTTTTTCTTAAGAAATCTTCCAAAGAACAAAGAAAATTTACTTTTCTGTCATTAACAGATTTTAGTAGCTTTATTGAGGTATAATTTACATACAGCAAATTGTACATATTTAAAGTATGTAATTTGGTAAGTTTTGATATATCTACACATCTGTGAAACTATCACCACAATCGAGATAATGAGCATATCCACTGCCCCTAAAAGTTTCCTAGTGCTCCTTTCTAATCCCCTCTCTCTTTCCTCATCCCCAACTGAAGGCAACTACTGATCTACTTTCTGTCACTATAAAATAGTTTTCATTTTCTAGAGTTTTATATAAATGAAGTCATACAGTATGTACTCTTTTATGCCTGGCTTCTTTTCATTCATCATAATTATTTTTATGGTCATTCATGTTGTGGCATATATCAGTAGTTTATTCCTTTTTTTTTTTTTTTTTAAAGATGGCCGGTAAGGGGATCTTAAACCTTGACTTGGTGTTGTCAGCACCACGCTCTCCCAAGCGAGCTAAGCGGCCATCCCTATATAGGGATCTGAACCCTTGGCCTTGGAGTTATCAGCACCGCACTCTCCCAAGTGAGCCACAGGCTGGCCCTAGTAGTTTATTCCTTTTTATTGCTGGGTAATATTCCATTGTATGAATATACCACAATTTGTTTATCCGTTCACTTACTGGTGAACATTTGCGGGGTTTTTTTGCTCATAAAAATAAAGCTGCTATGAACATTTCTTTACAAATCTTTTTATGGACATACACTTTTATTTCTATTGGGGAAATACCTAGGAGTGGAATGGCTGGATCATATGGTACTTGAATGTTTTACTTTTTAAGAAACTGTCAAACTATTTTCCAGCATGATTGTTTTCCTGTTTTGCCTTTCAGCCAGTGGTACAGTAAAGTTCCAGTTCCTCCACATCCTCACCAAAACAGTTTGTGTTATATTCCATTCTGTTTTTAATTTGCGTTTCCCTAATGAGTAATGATATTGAACGTTTTTTCATGTGCTTATTTGCTGTCTGTATATGTTCCTTG